GAAAAATGTCATGTAAACATAAATTAGGACAAAAAAATACTATTTTTTGAATATGTTACTTTTAATGGTCTATTAGTACTATTAACTATGGGAGACGAGAGTAATTGAAGGATACCAGCTGAGGTAGTCAGCACAGTGTACCCCAAACAGCAAGTTGAAGTCAATACGTAAACATCAAAACATAAAAATAGATAATATGCAGAGTAAAACTGACCACTAAGACTCATAGAAACAGAAAAAAATTCTTATTTAGATAAATCTACTAGTTTTGCATAGGAGATTGGTAATGTTTGAATAATACGTCAGCTACATAACTAGATAAAATTAATTGAGAGCAATAACTACACAAAATAAATGATAGTGGATAAATGAATTATAACTAATTTTAGATATTTATCACATTATGTAAGAACATTAATGTATAGCTCTGTAGGGGGAAAAAAGAGACATAAAATAAAAATTAAATTGAATAAAATTTCCCCTCATATGAAAACAAACAATTATACTTTATTGTTATCTATCACTATCATATTGATTACACCTATAAGTAGGAAAAAGCAAAAATTAAAAAATAAGAACCAAATAAGTAATACTTTAAAATTAAAAGTTAGACATTTAAAAACTATAAAAAAAATATATATAAATTATAAATTGTCATGAAATACGAGCTATTGCTAATATAAGTAGCCTATGTTACATATTTAATTCAAGAAGCAAAATTAATTCCCAAATTTGGTGGGCCTCTTGGCCCATTTTCGCCTGCACCTGTTGTGCAAAAGATGGGCTTTGGCCCAGTTCCTCCCCCTGAAAATCTGCATATACAATAAGTATATACTCATGTATATAGACTATATTTTAGCCTGTTTTCTATATATCGGACTGTACACAGACTGTATGCAGCCTAATTCAGCTTCCAAGCACCTGTTTTAATTTTTTGGACCTGTATATATATTGCACTCAACCTGTATATCAGTGTATACTTAGTGTATACAGTCCATTTTCGGACTTCCCGAAACTTGTGATCAATTTCCAGCCCTCCCTAGGCCTATTCCAATGACCAGGCTGACTCAATGATAAAGAATATTTGAGCCTCTATGGCTCAACTCGAGAATGCAAGAGAGAAGTTCACCATGGACTCGGAAGGGATTCATACGACAAAGAAAGGAGCCAAATTAGTATGTGAAATAAGTAAGCAATTAGGACATAACTTAATTAGAATGAAAGTAACTTAAATATTTTTTAGCTAAAAATGTCAGCCAAGTCACTATTAGACCAAATTGAGACCCAAATGTCATAAATTTCAATACAAGATTGGAGGCTATAAAACTAATATTAAACTAATGAGAAATCATACACAAGGAAATTCCAAGGGGCATGCTTGTGTACATATGTGACAATAAAATCTATAAGCAATAACTAACACAACCCAAAAATACATAAAGACACGTGTTGCACATTTGACTAATATCATCTCATATAATAAACGACACTAGATTTATCTATGGGGACTTTTAAAGCTACCATTTTTGTTATACTAAAGAGTCAAAAATTGGAGGCAGTAGCCAACTAACTCATTATAAGCAAAGGAAGAAAATAACTACAATCAAATAACTAAACTAGGCAACATAAGCAAACATGTTAAACAATGGCATAATATAAAACAATGTCCATAGCACTGAGTTAAATCGTCACATTATAATGGTAGAGTTAAACAATGGCATAATATAAAACAAAATCTTTACAATTTCTTTCTTCTTTTTAAAGCCAAATAGTGGAAGAGATTTGAAAATCCCTAAAAGGGGGGAAAAGGGAACAACGATGTGATCGATTAGGTTGCTAGGGTTATGGGTTTGCAGATGGGTCACGTACCGGTTTCTTCTCAAAGAAGTTGGGTTGAATTAGTATTGGATATTGCTGTATGTAATGTTGCTGAAAAATTGGGCTTTTGGGTATGAAACTAATTGGGCTGGAAAATTGAAAGATGTTGGGTCACTTTTTGGTATTGCTGACGGGTCTTGAGAATGGAGTGGAATTTGGGCCAAATCAAGGAGCAAAGTATTGGGAAAATAACCAAATGGATTGCAAACTTGGCCAATTAGCCATATGAGTTTAATTGGTGATTCGGCTAAAAACTAAATAAAACGAATTAATATAAATTAATTAATGAGCTTCTTAATGTCAACGAAATAAAATAATTATCTTAATTATAAACTATTATATAACTAAACTAATTAACCAAATATTTAATTAAAACTAAAATCTTTTTTTGAGAATATTTCCGAATATTCACAAAAATGTACTAATTATATACGAAATTATGCAAAAACATATATTTTATTTAAAAATTTATAAAAAAAAGTGACAAATATATTTAAAATAACTTACAAACTATATTATTTTATTTTTTTGAAATTTTATAAAACTAATTATTTTAAATCGTTTGAAATTGAAGAAGCGCGATGATTGATTTATATTGTGGAGGTCTAAAATTGGGTGTCAACAGACCTAATAATCAAATACCTCTAGGAAAATTCTCTTTCATTGTGTCAATTTTGTGATGTGATCTTTACGTTTTAGGCTAAAATCATACTTCAAGTATAGCCCAAATTTATGGTACATCCTTGTGGTATAATTGTAAACAAAAAGCATCCTTTAACTATTCTAAACGTTGCAATAAACATCCTTATGTTAACTTTTGTTAAAAAACTAACAGGTGAAATAAAAATATGTGTCAAGCATGTGATTTTCCCAAATCCCTATATTCGGTCGAATTGATTTTCTCTCAATTAGATGGCAATGAGACTTGGAAATTTATATGCAATATGCCTGCAATCTCTTTCAGACCTCTTATCAAATAAGTAGAGGGCAATTTACATTGCCATAGCAGATCTTGAACATGGTTATTTCTATTTGCCCTTTATAAATACAATACTTCTTTCAAGACCATAAAGACAGACAAGAATAAAAACTAGCATCCTAACCTTTCATAAAGTACAAAACTCTTTCGCTTGGAACTAATTATTTTTCTGCCCGAAAGCATAAATAAAGTCGAACTATTGTGCATTATCGTTCCTGGAGGATGAAGATGATCAATCCACTAAATATGGAGATTTGGGGGAATTCATGTGCTTTACATATGATTTTTATTTCAGCTGTTAGTTTTTTAACAAAAGGATGTTTGCCGCAAAGTTTAGGATAGTTAAAGGATGTTTTTGTTCACAATAATACCTTATCCTAAGTTTGGGCTATACTTCAGGGATGATTTTAGCCCAAAACACCAAATAGTTGATCGGATTCACTGTTTACGCAAATATTATACTTGAACACAATATGGGATTATAAGCACAAACTCACTATCCAACCTTCTTGGTTTACTAGAAATTTAACATGTATGCTTGCACTCTAGAAGCTAACAAGACTAGAAGAAAAGAGACCTTTTCTCTTGCCGTTTATACACAAACATGTACATCTACTACAAACTTTAGATGTCAATTATCTCAACATGCAATAAGCACCAACAATTTTTTCAACAAAATCTGATAATTGTCTCAAAATTTTCAATAAATTTGATGGTAACAAGTAAAAACAGAAAAAGGTCGGTTACAACGAGCCAACAAACAGCAAAACCAAAGTTTTCATCCTTGTCAACATGACGAAACCAAGAACTTTTCCACCAACATTCTTTCTCCTAGCCTCTTCATGGTCCATGATTCCAGCTGAGGTAGTCAGTACAATGTATCCGAACTGCAAGTATACGTAAAGATCAGACCATAGAAATAGATAATATACAGAATAACAAGTACGACTTTTACTCCATCTGTGATCGCAGAAAATGCCTGCAATTTCATTTGCTTAGTATCAAGTATGAAAGATAACAATATTATATACCTTAGAAAGGATTTTTCAATTGATATTATTGTCAGATAGAAGCACAAACGCCACATGAACTTTCTCAAATGGTACTCCTACACTAACCTAAGCACAAAAGAACATTAGAACCTGAAACTAAGAGAATTATTCCTGAAGAATATCACAGATGAAACAGAAAAGACTCCAAAATAAATGTTAACATACACATTAGAAGACCTAAGCACAAAAGAACATTAGAACCTGTCTAAATTGTTTCACTTCTTCGACAGTTCAACTCCTAATTGGTTCTTCATGTCTACAGACAGACAAGCCTCAGAAGAAAAAAGTTGAGTCAAAAGCTGAAGGGGTCAATTATTGTAATTTTTTATGACAAAAATTACAATAATTAACCCTATGACGACCTTCAGCTTTCTATTAGAGATTACAGCTTTTAAAATAATTATTTTAATTGTTCAACTGTTATCTTTCCTTAGTTGGTTTAGGGACTTCCTACTCCTGGATAACACTTTATTTCTAGCATTTATTCATCACATAATCCACGTCTACAAAATTCAAAACACAAAATTGTAGTGAAGTAGCTCATCTAGATGCAGCCACTGCCAACTTTGAACCCCAATCAGATCAACAATATGTTTGCTTTCATACTATGGTCCTATATCAGAATTTTAATTCAATGGAGGATAGGGATCACAAATCCACATCTTATATTATAATTGCTGAGTCAGTGTGACAAGAATTTTCAAAAGAAAAAACTCAAGGCCTGAAAGATTTATGAATCAACTCTAGTATTCAGAAAATATTTCCACTCAGAGGAGCTTGGGTTAGTTCAGCACGGCCCTTAGTGGCTTGACCTACAAATAGAAACACTGGCCAATTATTCTTGGAAGGATTATCATAAATCTTAAGCTTGTGATTGGATCCCCTAGCTCAACAATCCCTCCCAACCTACTTATTGAACCTCTAACATAACAGTTGAGGGAGATATACCTCACGGGGCTTGGGATTGCCACCTATAATTTGTTGCCTTACTTGGCTAGTGGTTTAGTGAAAAATTGGGATAACACAAGAAGCAGTTGAATAGTAATCTTCATCCCTGATGGATAATTACAAAATCATAACATGCGCTTCACTAACCTCCGGCAAGGCTGCAACTGGCTTCTTGTAAAGCAAGAATAGATTCAATATAATGTTGTAAGAAGCATGTCCCTGTAGTTGTTTCTCTAGGAAGGGCCGGCCACCTGCAAATAATTAGAATGAGTTGTCAGAAGATCTCAATCCTATGCAGCCACAAATCCTTACATTAGTAGTTACATGGTGAAATGAAAAACCAAAACTATCAATCAAGTCGCAAAAGATTCTGCACATTTTGGCTAATGAAGACAAAAGTTAAAACAATTTCTAAACCAACCACATGAAAGCTTTTATGTGCTCTACCTTTATTCCATTGTACCCAAGACCCGATCTCATGTTCGCGGTTTATGCAAGCTCCGATAGGGAGAAGAAATATATTTGCCTGAATATATTTCTTCTCCCTCCTTCTTTCACTATCTTCAATTTCCCCTTCACCGTTTCTGAAAACTTCGAACCCAATTTCACTGTAACAAAAAAAATCGAATTGTTTTGATGTAAAGAAGCAGAAAAGGAAAATTTAGTTTAAAAAAAGTACAACAAACAAATTGAAATGGAAAGTAAATACTAGATGCAGTACGTACCATGCTCACGAATTCTATATGCATAACTTTTTGCCTTCTTCCCCAATTTCCTCTTCTGAATAATTACAGCTGAATCATCCTGACCTGCAATTATTGTATCGAGTTTAGATAATTTAATTTTATATTTCTACTACTGGATCTAAACCGAATGAAAGAAACGGATCCTCGCTGTTCCACAAATTGATAACTCATAAATTTAAAATCATGTATGCAGCTCTAACGAGCGCAATGAAATTTGAACATACTTGGAGTAATTCTGGGTGAGTAATCTGAAGAAGACGGGCTGTGAAGAGCGCTAGCAGCAGATTCAGAATCTTGAGAAAAAGAAGAATGTCTTTCTGGAGTTTAGAAATTGTTTATAGAAGTTTGATTGGTAGTTTGTTGTATTTGACAGCAATAAGACCCGATCTCATGTTCGCGGTTTATGCAAGCTCCAAGTCAAGTTCATCTTGGTGTTGCTAAACGAACGTTGATTATGGTATTTGGTTTAAAAGGGAAAAGCTAGGGCAGCTGATGGGATAGTGATTGGGCAGGAAGCGTTGATGATATGAATTGCACTTCTGGATATGCTTTTACACTTGGTTCAGGCATGTCCTCGTGGAATTCAAAGAAACAAGAGGTGGTAGCTCAATCTTCTGCTGGTGCAACTAATCAGGCTCTATGGTTAAGAAAAAGATTCTACGTGATCTGGAGTAAAATGACATTGAATCTACTGTCATTAAGGTTGACAACAAGTCAGCAATACCTATGGCCAAAAAATCTAGTACAACATGGTCGTAGCAAGCATATAAATGTGAAGTTATATCTAAATTGAATTTTGTCCATTAATTTTTTTTCAGAGCTTTAATTAGAAAAATAAATTATTATTTAATATCACTTTAAACTTTCATTGTATCTTAATCATATTTTTGTTTAATCTTATTCTCTCCGTTTTTCAAAAATTAAAATGATAATACATATTTTTTTAAAATCCGTATACAACACTACAAGCAATAACTTTTTTTGGCATAACATCTACTAAGTGACTTATAATTTATTTATTTTTCAAAATTTATGTAGGTACACAAAATTTGGATATCAAGAATTAGACATTTGCTTTTGCCATATTTATACATAAAGAAGGGTACACACTCTTATTATATTATCTGTATAACAAATGCATGGGTGATCCAAGAGATTAATATATATAATCATTATTATTTATTTCATTTTTTAAATTCTTTAATTCAAATTCTAATCTCTACATTATTTTTAATGCTTGTGTCGTTGAATTCAAAAAGTGAAATTCTATTGTTTAGAAGATCCTTAGAGTATAAAAGCAATACAAGAGGTATGTATTCATAATTATTTTTTGAGAATTTAACAAGTTTGTCACTTTATTAATTCATGTCTCTTTTTGTATAGATTTACAATCTTAGCATAAAATAAATTAGTATGATCACAAATCTAATACAAAAATTTAGCAAATATGATTTTAGTTAATTAAAAAAATACATGCAAATGATCTCAATTTTTTGTTGAAGTTATCTAAGATTCTATGTTATCTTGGTAGAGGTTAAAAGATAAACTATGGGATGTAACAGAATTAATGTAATGCATTTTGGGTAGAAATAGAATAGATGTAAACTCTATTTTTATGAAAATAAGAAACAATTATTATATGTATATTGTGAAATCATGAAATACTCGACTTTCTTTTGATTACACATATGTATTCAAGGCTCATATCAACAAGAGGTTTAAGATGTCAAATCTTCAAAAATGCTTTGTCAGAAAGGTAAAGACTAAATAACCCCAATCTTTCATACATATAGATTTTTTTGATTAATTTATTTGACCAATAATATAAAGTTAATAAATAATATTAAAGAATTGAAATAATAGATAACGTGATAACGATATGCAAAAACTATTTGTTTTATAATATTCAAAGTATAAGCACATGACGTTACAAAAATATTATTATAATTAGTAAAGATAATGATAAATTTAGAAAAACAAATTTTAAATAAGTATTATTCCATTCCAAGTGGCAGTCTAATACCAAGGCACTTGATAGTTTAGAACAAGACTAAAACAAAAAATAATAATTTATAATTAAAAATTCATTTAAAAATGTCATGACAAAAAAAGAAAGAAGAAGAAAACGTTAATAAATGGTTAGTTAAAATGCATATGTAAAATTAAAAAAAGAAAAAAGATAAATATCGAGAAAAATAAACTAATCTAAATTATCCCTAAAATTTCTCACCCATTTACCTATATCTGCGTGTGTCAGAAAAATCAACATAAATATTTTTGAATTATCTTTTTTTACAAGAATAAATTTAAAATATTATGAATCCGTATTTTAAAAATAGTGCCACATGTTATCTCGACTTTTCAGTTTGAATATTTAAAAAAAAAATTATCTTCAAAACAAATAATTTTATAAATAATTATGTAAAAATTTGTCAAATAAAATTATAAAAAACACCAACGGAAAGTTATATATTATTAATAATTTGCATATTTTCTAAAGAAATAAATTTATTAATTAAAAAAATACTAAAAATTTTCAACAAATGTTTTTTTTAAAAATCTACATCGATAATAATTTGAAAATTAAAATATATTAAACAAAAATAACGTTATGGACAAAAATTAATAATGTCAAACACAATTGATTTAATCAAAATAAAAGAAACAAAAGATATATTTCAAATTTTGTTTTGCTTCTTTAATAGAAAAAATAGAACATTACTAAAAAAAATGGAGCAATTTTAATTTTGATTTACGATAATTAAATCATAGGAGAAGACTTAAAAATTTTACTCTCAATTTTTTCATTTACTCTCTCTGCAAATAATTAAATTCTTGCTCATATAATTCTCTATCTCAAATTTTTTGGTTTATATAATATGCATTATTTTTATTTTTTGTAGTGCCTAAATTTTTCATATTTCTTGATACTAACTATGCATATGAAGATGTTGAACACTGCATTTATTATATAGAAACGTGTGAATAATAAAATCTAAAAATATTAATAAGTGAATAATAAAATTTATATAATAATTTTAATTTTAAAATTATGATATTTAAAAATATCCGTGCAACGCGCGGGTACGAATACTAGTTAAGTTGAAAAGAAAAAGAAAAGAACTATCCAAGTCCACAGAACCCCTTGTGTGTCCTTAATAAAACGGATTAACCATTAAAAAAGTAGCAGTAACTCTAACTTCGATAATTTCATCGAACTCAAAAAGACAACACACATATCACACGATCGATCGATTTTATTTTGTAAGAAATGTATGCAAAAGAAGGGAAGAATTTTATTTTGAAAAATGAGAGAAAGTCTCTCTATTTATAGTCAACAAAGGGTAAAAGTCACAACTCTTTGGGGAAAAAATAACATTTCACGACCTTTTGAAAAAGGCACAACCTTTGAAACGGTCGCAACCCTTTAGAAAAGACACAACCTTTCATAAAGGTCACAACCCTTCAAGTATTGAATCACCCAAAATAAATTGTGATTGCAAGAAGTAATATAATAGTTTCTTAATTTTGTATCACATCAATTAAATACAAGTAGTTGGTGCATCTTAGCAATTACCAGCACCCCCAAACAAAAAATAATAATCCCAGTAACTATCTCGAGCATTATGCTCACTTCCTTCATAGTAACATCTAGATTGATGAGTTTGAACCAACGATTCATTTGGTTGAACATTTTGATTATCGCCCACTCCATACAGGACTTGACGCATATAACAAGTGTAGTGTGGATCGCCACCATTAAATTTACTATTTCCCATGGGTGGACTTGGTTCACCCGCTGGTGTATACACCTGTCCTCCATATCGTATTGTCTGCGATCCATTTCTTAATTCATTGAAAATGGTCTCCGGCCAAAATCCAATAACAAACATATAACGCAAGAAAAGATAATAGTCTGCAAAAATAAATAACACCAGAGTTACAACAACATACTTGTTGATACTGACATTAATATTCCAAAGTATTACAACAACTATCGTAATTTTATTTACCTTCATCCTTGTAGATCTGAAATTGCATGTCATAGTCACCATAAAATGGCCTAGAGATTTGTGGGAAAGCATAATCTATTGGTACTTCATTATCAAGTTGAACAAATCCTGGACAAATATTGTTGTAACATCCTGTTTTTTGGTTGCCATCTGTCTATTTAATTCAAACAAAATGAAATTTACTTATTCTACATGCTTTTGAATTATTTCTTTTAGAAAAATATCAATTAATTTCTAATATACTTACTGTCCAATGGGAGTATAACCGAGTCCGGTTATCACCGTATAGTTTTGGATGTACCTAAACCAAACAAACATCATGACTTTAGGAAATCGAATCGTCAAAAAATACTTAATAGGTTCAAATCATTGATTTGATATAAAAACTTACAATCCATCCGGCTTGTATTTGCTCAAAATTCGTCGCGTTATCCGCACTTTGAAGAAATAATGTTGCGGAACTATATTGGCCAAGTCCATTTAGTTGTGGATTATACAAAGTAACAGTGGCTGAGACACTTGTAAAACTTTTTATTTCTGGAGATGCGTTTACGCTAATTCCTGCAAACTGAAGTATAGTATTACATTAAATTAATTAAAATAACTATTTGAAATTGAATTTTTTGACTATTAATGATAAATTTTAATAATTAAATAAGTAGTTACATCGATGATATCTTCAGTGAGGGATTCATTTGCCATGCTTAAGGAGGCATCTTTTGCGCTTTGGAGTTGTTCTTGTGTCATTCGTCGTATAGGGACCGTTCCAATCGGACAACCTTTTTTGTTCAACCAGAACTCTTCTGCTTTAAAATAAATATTTTCATCCTTTTGTAATCGCTTGACTTTAACTGATCTTTGTTTTTCTAGCTCCTTAGCAATTGTTCTCTGTTGTTCCGAAAATCCACATGCGTGCAGAAAAAAAGAAAGAATTTTAAAGAAACTACAAGTAAGATATTACTGAAAATAAATATATGTAAGGGTAATATTTTACTAGTCATTTTGTGACAGTTGCATCTCTTTTCTGTCTTTTCATTATTTTGAACAAGAATCAATGACAAGGATAGAGTTATAGTCAGCAAAAAGTGATCATTCAATATTTTTTCAAAAGGTTACACTACATATACTATATATTAAACATTAATTTTATACCTAATTATATATAAAAATCTTCAACATTCTTAACAAGATTCATGGCATCACTAATTAATTTGATGTTTATAAGAAATAGTTAAACGCTAGTTTATTAAGAATCTGATTTTAATTATGAATTAATTATATCTTAAGGAAATAGATTTTGGGGTTAACTCAACTCAATAATAAGATAATTAACTTGGATCTATAACTTGAACTCTTAACAAAAATTAGTAACATTTTGGGAAGACACCTTATGTGAATTACTAGTACTAGATTTTTCTTTCAAATTGTTAAAA